CAGCAATTGCTTGGAGTTGAATAACAGCTGTCTCCTTTGGACAAGGCCTGTGTGATCCCCTTCCCCAAGGTCTCATTACCACATTTTGTCTCCCAGACAGAGGATGGGGGTGACATACCATCTATCATCATGCTTGGGCTATTCTTCTTACACTTGTCCCCTTTCAATTATATTCCTCATGCAGTTCTGGGCTTTTTAGTTCAATTGTGACTACTCATTCAGTTCCTGCCTACTGTGTTCCTGCCTTGTGACCTAGTGCAGTTTTAAATTCTATGTTGTGATCCATCTGCTAGTACTGTCAGAAAGTGACTTGATTTAACGGATTTCACTTGGAAATGTAAAACTAGAAGGGAATAAAATGAAAAAAATATTGAGGGAAATGTGATTTTGTTAGACGTATGCACCCAGTATCCTCTTCATTTGGTGCTGTAGAATCAACACTGGGCTGTGAACCACAGGGTCTGCAGTTCAACTCTGCCAGCGGCTACCCAGAAACCCCTGTACAGGGGTCGCTATGAGTCGGAACCAACTTTAGAGCACTGAACATGTATTGGACATGGAGACAGTTAAAATGTGAGAGAGGTTGTGGGGTGTGGAGTGTCTGGAAGCCCACGGGACTCAATTTCAGACAGATTGTCACTATAGCCTAACTGCTCTTAATAATGTGCAATGAGGACCTGAAGGAAGGGGAAAACGTTCTTTCCCTTAACTAGAATTTTCTTGCTGAAGTAAAAAAAAGGCCTTGAACGCAATGTTAGGTACTTGAAAGGAAACGGTGGAGTTGGCCAATGTATGTGAAGGTGGACGTGTTCTTCAGATAAGGGAAACGGAGCCAAAATATTAGGTGCGTGCGTGCAAGGATGGACTAGAGGACAGAGAGGAGTGGGAGAAAAACCTTGGGGGTGAAGGAGTGAATGCTTCTTAGAAGCACTTACCTGATAGTGCAACACTAGGACTTCATTCTGGAAGGATCTCCATGGAGTAACTGTATGTCCTATAGTCACTGTGAATCAGAATTAACTTGAAGCCAAGGCTTGTGTTTTCTTCTTTGTTTTGACTAAGGGTCAGGCATTTCTAAGATCAAACGTATACACATAACCTGATGAAATAGGTACTCGTATTCGCTTTTTTATATATAAAAAACCAGAAGCACAGAGAAACTAAATGACTGGCTAAACGTGATAAACAATATAGAATTCAGGCGAGTGTGACTTAGAAAGCCTACACATTTATATAATTTATATATATATATCCTGCCCCCCCCGGCCTTTTTTAGAGCAAAAGCATAGGGAGCTCTGGTAGCTTAGTGGTTATGAATTGGGCTGCGAACTGCAAGGTCAGCAGTTCAAAACTACCAGCTGTTCCGCGGGAGAAAGATGAGGCTTTCTGCTCCCGTAAAGATTTACAGCCTTGGAAACCCTGTTCAGGGTCGCTATGAGTCGGAACTGACTCCACAGCACATAACAACAATATCCACCCCCGCCCAAGCCTTTTTTTGGGTAAAAGCATAGGGTAAGTGCAATTTTTCTGAAGGGAGAATTTGTACAGTGACCTCGAATGAGAAGCCGGAAGCACCAGGACATCCATTCTTTTTAGAACCTAGAATTGAATATACTATTGCCGTTAGATGCCATGGAGTTGGTTTTGACTCCTAGTGACTAGTATCACGAATAAAATGCTGCCGGTTCCGAAATGAGAGTCCATATTTGGTCACTGTGTCAATCCATCTCATTGAGGGTCTTCATCATTTTCACTGACCCTCTACTTTACCAAGCATTGGGTCCTTTTTCCTGTTGATAACATGTCCAAAATGTGAGTCTCCTCACTCTTGTTTCTAAGGAGCATTCTGGGTGTACTTCTTCCAAGATGAATTTGTTTATTCTGTTGCAAAAGACCTCGTATAAGTGCTAAAACCAAGGATGTCATTTTGAGGACATAAACCAGGGGCAATGGACAATGAATGAGGGAGACTTAGAACTGATGTGTTTGAATTACGGTGTTGGCAAAGAACATTTACCAAAAGAGTAATGACAGCAGAAATATTCATGATAATCATAAATCCTGAAAAAGGAACCTTTGTTTAATCTGGCTGAGTTCAACTATTTCAAAGAAGCCGAATGTTGCCAGGTGCCATCAACATCAATTCTTCAGGCCTAGATTGTTATGTGTCATGGAGTCAGTTCCGACTCATAGTGACCCTGCATAGGGTTTCCGAGACTGTAAATCTTTACGGGAACAGAAAGCCTCATCTTTCTCCCACGGAACAGCTGGTAGTTTCAAACTGCTGACTGTGAGTGAGATTAGCAGCCCGATTCGTAACCACTATGTTACCAGAGCTCCTAGATAGGTAGTGCTTATTTCAAAAATGGAGAAAAACCCTAAAGCATTCTGAGTTTTCGTGTGGTGATATGTATATTGTTGGGGGTTAAAACTCAGCTTGTACGTAGTATTTTCCCAACAGAACATTTGGAACTATCATTAAACTTGAAAAGGCAGTATTTTAAAAGGCTAAGATTGGAGGTTCAAACCCACCAGCCACTTCTTGGAAACCCTACACAGGATCACAACCTACTTGACGGCACTTAGCAAGGTAGAAAGGAAGGATTTGAATTTCAAGACCCTTATCTCAGATGTTCTTAATGAACAAACCCATTGCATTCACTTGCTTGGATGACAAAGAAAACAGGTCAAGAACGGGATTATGAAACTAGGTGACAGAGACAGAGGTCAGCTGAATTCACTGGGCCGAGGTTGAGCCCCACCCCCCTCGGAGGTCACTGTGGATAGGACATGCTCTTTGAGGTCCTTCTTACTGGACACTGATCTCGTGCTCTTTGGAGGACGATTGTTGGATGTTAGCAAGCTTAGGGTGTTTTGCTGAAATTTAAACTATGTGGACCAGGGTACTTAATAGATAACTGTCCCTACCAAAAATGTCCTCTCCTGTACCCCCCTTCCCTTCAAAATCCAGTTAATGATCCAGTTGTCTTCACTTACCTTCACTCCATCAACAGTAGCACCTGCTGGGCAGCACTTACCTGGCTTCTGCTTTCTTGGAGCAGAGTCTAGCAGGCAAGGCAATAGTCACCCAAGGTGATGGAGGAAGCTTAGAGGGTGCAACATGGGAGTGTCAAAAAGGGAGTGGACTTTTAGGGGGCTGGGACCAGGCATCTTTGAGAAGCAATTTGGCTGAGGTCTGAAGGAGTTTAAACCAAACATGTGTGGGGAGGATTAGAGGGATTATCAGCTCAAAAGTCAGGATGACAAGCAGCAGCTGGAGGGACTGAAAAGTCCTTTGCAAGGCCACATGGTACCTGGAGGCCATGGTAAGGACTTTCTATCCCCTTCCTAAGTTCCCCAAACTAGACCAAGAATCCCTCCTTTGTACATCCTCTGGGTTATACTGGAATCATCTGTTCAGATTAGGATCCTTTATTAAATTCTTTGAAGCCAGAAATTATCTAAATTCCATTTTATACATTCAGTACATCCATCATCAGTGATCAAGAGTTTTGTTGACTCAAACCAAATCCCTGGACAGGAAATGAGGAGACTTTGATTTCTCTCCTTGGCTTTGCTTCACAGTTGCTGTGTAACCTTGGGCCATCAAGGATTTATCACCTCTTCTTAAAAACTCTGTGTCAAGGACCTGCCTAACTTGGTATCTCTAACTTTGGCAGTATCTCTTAAGGAACTTGCTTATTACCTCTAATATGTAGAAATTACAGATAGCCTAATTAGGGTTAAGAAATATGTCCCCAGTTTTCCTTAATCTGTTCCTGTTTTAAAAAATACAGGCCTCACTCCTTAGGACAATCAATCACTTAGTCAAGATCAAAAGGGCAGCAAATGCCCAAGGACAAAGTCCAGAAGGCAGGAAGAATTAGGCAAGGAGGAATGGAAACTGGAAACAAGGCTGAACTAGAATGAGCGCTGTTAGACTGTGGGGACTGCAATCAAAGGCATTAAACACACTGCGTATGAATTACTGAGTGGGAAATAGATTTGCTCTGTAAATCTTCACCAATTCACAATAAATTAAAAAAAAAAAACAAACACAAAAAACAACAGGCCTTCTCAAAAACGAAAGCATCCCCTTAAGGTAAATAAATATGTACTTTATGAAAGCAAGTAAGTTGAGTCTTCCTAACTTATCAATTACCTTTAATTTTGTCTCCTTCCCTTCACCATGTTTCTGTCTTACCACTTCAGGTAAAAAGCAGCACATTTTCAGAAATGCCTTCGGTTTACCTAGAATGAATGGCCGGGATGGTTCAGTGGTCATAGGAAGCCCGGGTGCTTCAGGAATTCCACTACCTCTAATTTGAGTGACAGGTTCCTGGGCCATAAAATAAATCCCTGGAGTCAACATTAAATCAGGAAGGTAGCTGACTACCAGAAAATAAACACCAACTTTATTAATACAACAACAGAAAGGGGTCTCCTATTTCTCAGGAAAAAAAGAACAACCCCAAACAACAAACAGCATGAAACCAGTACTACCTGGTGAGCTTTACAGGATGAAATCCCACATTTACTCTTCTGACAGCAACCCACCACACCCTGAAGATGTTCCATCCAAGGCAACCACCACAAGGCCTACTCTAAGAGCATGTTTTGCACCGTGGGAATGAGGTTAGCTTCAGGGCAATTTCCCAAACTCCTGGGAGACTGAAATGCGATCACTCCTGTTTTAGAAGCTCTTGGTGTAGAACACATCCATGTGGAGAAAAGTTGGAGAATGGAGGCTTGCATCTCAAATCCAAGAAAAAAGCAAAAATTTAAGCTATTGATTGTTTTGAGACAGTCTGCCAGAGTGTTCTATGAAGAAGCCTTTTCTGATCCTACCACTTGTTTGGGTGAAGGGTGAAGGGTGTGGAAGGCGCCAGGAGAGTAAAACAAGGCTGGGGATGCTCTGGACTCCCCTTCCTTTCTGCTGGTGGGTGTTTTTTCTGGCAGCTGCAGCAGCTTCATGAGGGGAGGAAGGGACCACTGGCCAATCACCTCTTTTTGAAGCCATACTTTTTGCGTTCATAGAAGAGATCAGTCTTAGAGCTCCCCAAATTGACAATCTTTGGGCAACCATCTCTCTGGAAAACAGAAGAATTGAAGAGGTGGTTAAGTGTCTTTCAGCCTGAACTGAGAGGGATTAAAGAGAAAAATTGGGTCAGAGAGGGTAAAGTCTTCATCCTAGTGTTCAAAACGCCAGTAAATGGGTTTACAATTTGGCCCCCCCCCGCCCCCCCCTCTTTAGCTGGAAGTCTGGCTCCACTAGGACGGTTTCTTCCTATGTTCTATCTGGTCAGGAAAACTTCTGGATTAATGGTTTAGTTGTTCATTTTACCTATCACCCTATTCAGTCAGCCATCAAGAATTTATTAAGCCCCTAGAATATGCCCAGGGTGTGCCTCCTCTATCCAGTGACCTGCAATTACACTTAGAATGTTGGAGTTTAAATCACTTCTGTTGCTAATATGATACACCTTCAACAATAGGATTCTCTTTAAGTGAAAGGTGATTGTTGTCATTCAGTGCTGCTGAATCGGTTCCGACTCAGAGTCACCCTGTATAGGGTTTCTGAGGAGCAACCAGTGGGTTTCAGTCACTGAACTTGTGGTTGAGCCTACAGCGCCATACCAGGAGTCCAGGGAAAGTTAAGACTGAGTAATGACCATCTGCAGATCACACTTCCTGGTCCTCCCGTGTACAAACATTATCCCAAGAAAGACAAAAATATCTGAAAGGCAAACAAACAAAAAAACCTCCAGGAAACAAGTGCCCTATATTTAAAATACCATAGAATACTAAGTTTGCTGTGTTCGTGTTAATCCACTGTATTTGACACATGGGTTTGGGGCGCATGCTCCTGTCTGGAGATGGTGATAGATGGCCCATGCTCTGATCTGTACTGACTAGCTCCCCTGGTCATTATGTGAGCTCCAGTGGCTTCAGTGAAATCCTCAGAAGCTCTGTATCATAGGGATCATCACTCCATCACTTGATTTGGGATGATGGGAGGAAAACTGGGTAAATTCATAAGTGAATAAAACTGAAAACCTTCATAGATGATAATCTTCTATGTACCAGGTAGTATAAAAACTCTCCTCTGTGTAGCTTGGTATAATCAAGCAGCCCAGGTTCTAAGCCTAAGCTTGGCCCCACCAATAACCAGGTGAATTCAAGCAAGACATGCAACCTGTATTTAAGGTCCCTGCAAAAATGAGGAAGAGCTGCTTCTGCTGACCTAACCAGGAGGCCTAATATGAAGTATGACAGTGCTCTAAGCACTTTAGAGGTAGCATGATGTTTTGTGGTATGGTGGTAGTCTAAGTTGTGCTTTGCTGACTTGTGTGACTGTGGGTAAATCCCTTTGGACTCGTAGTGTAAACTAAGGGAAGTAAATCAAGTCAGTGTTTAAACATTGCTTAGAGAGGCCCTGATAGTCCCAACTGGACACTGGGTGGTGGAAAGACCTGTTCTCACACATCATTTAGGTTCAGATGGGAGGTTCTGGAACCTTGTGGTTAGCAGTTCAGTGCTTATCCTACAGCACTACACCAGGACTTCACCAGCCATACAATTAGCCCTTAATAAGTTTAAAGAATTTGACAAAAAGTCAAACACTGGCAGTTGAACAATGGTTCAACACAGACACACACACTCTCTCTCTCTTCTGTGGAAGATACATATATATAAAGCTGGAAACCAACATATAAGATAACTAGATCTTCCCTAGCTTCTTGGACTTTTCTACACTTTCTCTCACTGACCCTCAGGTTAGCTGAACTCCCCTGCTTTTTCTTTTTTATACACCTCCTAAAAGCCTCACCAGCTGCTCCTTGGAAACCCTATACAGGGTTGCTATGGGTCGGAACCGACTCGACGGCACTTCACAACAGCAACAACAACAGCCTCATGGCTGTTCTCAAATCTACCAATGCAGGGAAAAGGACGTGTGCCCCGGAGCTGGCGGGCCTCTGTAGATGATGCCTATGAATGGAGAGGGGAAGGAAGATGGAAGGACTCTTGAGAAACCTTGGAGGATGGTGCATCTGTGAGCTGAGCTAGAGGTGATTTTGGAAACCCTGGCAGTGTGTGATGGCAGCAGGTCTATGCACGAACACTACACATGGCATCCTTTCCAGTCCTACCAGTGGGGTAGCGTTGACACACATTCCCCACTCCCAGCACAGCTGGAACTAAATGCACACGGAAAGCCTGTATTATGGCTACTATGATTTCTAAACGTTCATAAAGGAGACACTAGATCACCAAGTGAGGATTTATAGTCATTTAGGCACAAAAGTCATGGACTACCTTTACTGTGCCAGGGTTTTTTTTTTTTCTTCATGCTAATCACATCCACTGAAACATCAGGTGACATCATTCATAAGTAAATTGAACAGTTTGTATCTAACACGAGTCAAATGTTTGTCTTAGTGCGTAGCTCATCGTTGTTAAGTACCACTGAGTTGGTTCTGACTCATAGCAATGCTGTATAGGGTTTTCAGGGAGTAGCTAGTAAGTTTGAACCACTGACCCTGCAGTTAAGCTGTCCAGTGCTTATCCTACAGTGCCATACCAATGTCCCTTTTTCTGCATAAAAAGCATTGAACACTCCCAGATACAAGAAAACATCTGTAGCATAACAACACAGTAATAACCACAATGTTGTGATGCAGCACCTGTCAATACAAACCACTGTATGTACCTGGAGTTTGTAACATAGTAGACTTTAGGGAATGGAGGACTATGGATGTATATGTGGTGAGACATTACCCCAATGGGCATTATATAGTGCATGACTATATGTTAAACCAATATAAACTATATAATAAAATATAACAGATTAAGAGGAAATTCACATAGAACTGAAATGCAAAAAAGGCAACTAAAAGAAAAAAAAATTAAGATGAGAAAAACACTTTAACTTAAAATGTGTCAAAATGTCTGTGTCTTTTTCTTACAAATGGTAACAAAGAATTATGAATGGATACCAGTGGCAGGACGTTTTAAGTAACAGAAACTAGAAGGTGAAACTTTGTTCACTCTTTCAGCAACTGTTTAATGAGTATCAATAATGTAAAAACTGGACCACATTTGTCAGTCTGGGACCCTAACAATCATAACACATTATCCTATTTGTAGAAACAAACAAACAAAAACAGCTTCGGTAACCAACCTTGTTACTGCTAAGTACAGTTGAGTTGATCTAACTCATAGTGACCCTGTATACGGTTTCTGAGGCTTGTAAATCTTGGTGGGAGCAGAAAGTCTCAGTTTATCCACAGAGCAGCTGGTGGGCTCAAACCTTGTGGTTAGCAGTCCAGTGTTTATCCACAGAACCACTGTACTCCTTTGAAGCACCTCACACTCCACAAAGGTATCCATGAGGTGACAGGGTTTATTCCTTCCATTCTGAAACTTTCTCAAAGCTACAAACAGCTGTAGAGCCAAAACTTGAATGTGGGCTTTCTCCCTCCTCATCTAAAAACCAGAAAATTTTATCAAAGTCCTGAGGCTGTAGAGAATGTTAGATCTGTGAATTAATTTGAAAAGTAAAATTGCTTTTTTCCATCTGTCCTCTGTTCTCGTTGCTGTTTGCTTACACGGGGGAGCAATGGGTGGTAGAAAGCAGAGACAGCCTTAACCACGACAAAGGCAATACACTGAGGAGGTGAGGGATAAGTTGAATTCAACCATGCATCTCAATGAGCAATACGGTGTTATAATGATTTATGATTTAATGCTCACTCCTAGTTAACAAAATTTAGTTTAAATTTTAATTTAATCTTTCTCCTTGTTAGCTGCCATTGACCTAGCCCCTGGCTTGGGGTGACCCCATATACAACAGAACAAAATGCTGCCCAGTACTACAGCACCCTCAAACTGCTGTGATCCACAGGATTGTTACTGGCTGATTTTTTGGAAGATCACCAGGTGTTTCTTCCTAGTCTGTTGGCTGCATTTCAACAGGTTCAACACTATAGCAACAGGCAAGTCTGCAGTGACAAAGGGTGGTGGTTGAACACAAGGTACGCTGGCTGGGAACCAATGGGTCTCTCCCACAGAAGACAAGAATTCTATCACTGCCCTTACCTTTTGCCATAGGGAGACAATAATGAAAAAGGGTCAAGAAACAGAGTTCGACAGAACTAGGTTTTAGTCCTTATCTGTCACTTAGTCATGTGACCTTGGACTAAGTTGCTTAATTTTTCTAAGCCTGTTTTCTCAACTTTATTACATGGAACGTTTGGAAAAGAATCTTCAGCACAGGACCTGGTATGTAGCAAGAGCTCCATACAAGCAAAGGAATCAAGAGTTAAGGGGTATTAATATGATGCTGTCTTAGAAGAAACCATGTAGTAGTACTCTGGTACCAATGGCAGGCTCCATCCTTGATTCTAAGAGAACGTTAATGGGGTTGCTTTGGTTCAGGGCAGGTTACTGTATAGGAAAACGGCTTAGGTCCATAATTTCCCTGAGAATCTGTAAGGCTGAGTGGTAGCTCACATCCCTGGACTGCTTTGTGCTCCATGGAGATGGGGGCTGAGTTATGTGAGCTAGGTGTCCTGGGAACATTCTTGTGTAACGGCAGCAGGGGAAATGATATCTGGGCTAACTCTTAGGGACAACACAGAAGGATAGACCAAAGCCATGAGGTCACGCAGTACCTGCAGACTAGCCAGCTGACAGTCAGCACTTACTGAGCACTCTCTGGAGTCCTGGGGTGGTGCTGTAAGATCAGCACTGGACAGCTGACCGCTAGGGCAGCCATTCAAACCCACCAGCTGGTCCTGGGAAACCCAATAGGAGTTTGCTAAGAGTCAGAACTGACTCAAAGGCACTGAACAACAAGAAGAAGCACTCTCTGGTTGCAAAGCTTGTGTCAGATAAAACCTAGCTACAGCCATAGTCAAGAAAATGTCACAAACAGACACTCTCTAGCTGGAGCACTGTTTAAACTTTTTCTTCCCTGATGCCACCTTACCATGGTTTCACTGCTTATATTTTCTAAGTAATTACCAAACATCTACTACGTGCCAGAAAGTTGCAGGGCGTCACCAAAATGTCCTGTCGTGCTTGGATAAGACTGAGGAAAATGAGAAGAGAGAAGCAGACAGAAAGAAGGTCTTACTACACCTGAGAAAGAGCGCTGGGAGTGGAGAGTGTCCATTGGACTAGGGGTCCCTGCACTGTGAAGCCCCTAGATTCAAGGAAAAGACTGATGCCAAAACACATGGGGATCTCCAAGGACTGCTAGGCCTCCAGATGCTGATAGGAGACCAGGATTTTCCCTAAAGCTGATGCTGACTTTGACCTTCTAGCCTCCTAAACTGTGAGAAAATAATTCCTATTAAAGCCCCTCCCTAGCCCCAAGAACAGTGATCACGTATACCCAAAGTGCTTGCTGGCTGACCAGATCCACATGTTTTTTAAAAAGCAAGACATGTTTGACAACAGTGAAATACAAATCGGGGTTTAGGAGAGGAGAATGTTCAATTCCCTGATGGAAATGATGTTTTAGGTCTTTATCTATGACACCATCTCCCTAAACAATGAAGATTCAATGATCTAAGAGACAGACTGGCCCGGTATATCACACTTACCAGGGGTCAACAAGACCCAAATGCAAAGACTACTGAGGTGACTGGACTGTTTCTCAACACAGGCACACCTTACCAAGATGACAGATGAAAGACAACATGGTGCAATGGTGACACCAAAGGTTTAGTCACACAGCACTAGTCTTGCCTCTATTAGCTGGGTGGGGGACTGTAAAATGGGAATGATAATGATACCATTTAAGAGTTATTGTTTGGAATAAGGCCGATAACATTTATAAAGTACCTATTATTAGCTCATGAGAACATGAGGAATATTATAGTTTGCCTTATCCTATATTAAGTAACCAAACATAAAACCCAAACCTGAATTGAGTCGGTCTGTCCCTCCATAGGGTTTCCAAGGCTGAAAATCTTTAAGGAAGCTGACTGCTGGATCTTTCTCCCAAGGAGTGGCAGGTGGTTTTGAACTGCTAACCTTTTCGTTTAGCAGCTGAGTGCTTACCACCGCACCACCAGGGCTCCTACTAGGTAAACAGACACCCTCCATTAGCCTGTTGTTAAGTGCTGTCAAGTCACTTCTGACTCATAGCAACCCTGCAAAGGGTTTCCAAGGAGCATCTGATGGGTTTGAACTGCTAACCTTGTGGTTAGTAATCCAACGCTTATTATACAGCACCACACCATGACTCCTCTCTATTAGCCCCAGTGGGAGGGACTATATAACATTTCTTTTTCTTGTAGCCTAAGGAAAAAAGCTAATTGATTCCTGGTTTTTTTTTGTTTTTTTTTTTTTTGATTCCTGGGTTTTTTATTCCCCTCCAAGAGGTCTCTTTTGCCAGTACTAATCTCAAGAAAAATGGTCAAATTTGTCTTCGGTGCTCATCTACAAGATCTCTTTCCTGCCATTTGGCTCAGAGAGTTGAATATTAATAACTAGCCACTGCCACCTCACAATACGAGGAACAAAAATATTCTGAGGCGGAACCATAATCAACTCTGCAACATGAAACCAGAGGCATTCTGAAGCTGCTTAAAGCTGAACTCAAATTGTCCCAAATTCAACTCTGTTATTACCACATCCACCTCAAGAGTTCTGAAGGATAGTAAAATCAAGGGAAATGCTGAGTGGCTTTTATACACCACGCACTGGGCTAGAACTTACAAATGCAGGATGTTCTTTCTGAGTAAGAATAATCAGAGACATCAAAGGCAGAGAGAGAGACTCTCTAAATTGCTGGTGGTGGCTAAGAGTTGCTTCTCTTGCATTTCACTTGCCTTTATTGGACTACACCCAGGTTGGCTCACAGAATTTGAAGAGATTATAACTTAGGTGATTAGCTTAGCACAGTAATTGTCCACAGACCATAGTAGCTTGTTGTGGACAGCAAAGTGTTCCTAAATAAAAGGAAGACAGGTCAAGTGGGGAGCTTTATCTACTCACATCCTTCTCCTGGATGGTACACTCCTTACAGTAGTAGGCATCAGAGACTCCAGGGCCCCCACAGATGACGCAGCGCCCCTGGTAAGAGCCGTAATTACACTCATCACATATACGCACCAGGGTGCAAGGACGCACATAGGAGTCACAGATCACACACTTGCCATCACCTGTGAAGAAGAGAGACTGGAGTTATGCTCACCTGCAAGGACCTCCTCTCCCAAGGGCTTTGTCCTCTTGCTATGAGCAGTGTGTTCGTTTCCCTTGGACAGTGAATTTTGCCCTCCTCTACTTTGGTAGTACCCAGTGTTCATCTTAAACTTACAAAAACCTGTAAAGATCTGAAAACTGCACCTGGTAGATGATCCAAAAGAAACCCATTCCAACTCAAAGAGATCCTATAGGACAGACAACTGGCTATGGGGTTTTCCAGGTTGGAGTCCTGGTGTGGCACTGCGGGTTTATATGCTGGGCTGCAAAGTCAGGTTGAACCGCAAATGAGCCGCTTCTGGGAAACCCTCTACAGGGTTGTTAGGGGTCAGAACCGACTCGACAGCACTTAACAACAATCGTTACACAGGCAGACTGCCACATCTTTATCCCGCAGAGCAGCTTTGGCCCAATCTTTGGGTTATAAGCTGAGCTGTTTAACCCGAACTCCTTTGGTAAATGAGATGACAGGTCTGTCTACATAATGCTGGCAACAAGTAAACCTGTATTTGTCCTAAGCTACAGGAGTCCTGGTGTGGTACTGTGGGTTAATGCAACAGACTGCAAATCCATTTGAACAGCAAGGTCCAGCGGTTCAAGCTCATCAGCCGCTCCTCGGAAACCTTCTAGAGGTCGCTAAGGGTCGGAAACGACTAGATGGCACTTTAAAACAACAGAGGAGGTGGAAAGGGCCTCTATTAGCAAACCAGGATTCCAGTGTTTACATATTTCCAGTCTAGGTTACTCAGAGGCCTCTTGGTGGTACCACGGGAAAAGCCCCTTTGCCGACTTCACTGAGCGGACTGAGGGGCTGGGAGTGTGTGCTCTACTCACATTTTTCACACAGTCTTCCGATAGCTGCAAAGAAAGTAAAGAGTACCATTAGAATTAGGGTTTGGACAAAAAGGGGAAGACCATCCTCCTGCTAGGGCCGGGACGAGGGCAGGGATTGCGGAGTTTAAGGGATGGTCATATTGTCCACGTAAACTTCGATCCGACCCAATCCCATAGTCATGATTCCCTCTTGAAGCCTCTCCCAGGTCTGGGTCAAACTGAGACAGCGTTTCCAAGGACTCAGACTCAGAAACCCACTCCTGCCGTCTACCTTAGGTTCCAGCCCGCGCGCCCCGCCCTCTTCCAAAGGCCATAAACCCGCGCGCTCCTAAGGTGCCCGCTACCGTAAGGCGGGAAACATGGCGGCTTTGAGGCTAGGACCGAGAGAAGAGCTGAGAACTTCCAACTCCTAACACCATCGCCATCCAGACACCCGCGGACAGGGCATAGCCTCACCAACACCAGCCTGCTTGCGACAGAAAATCAAATCCGGATGGTGTTTAGCCATAGCTTCCACTCAAACTGGCCGCCGGAAGCTTCGGGAAACTTCCTTCCAACCTTTGAGCCCTGTTGTTCCTGCCTCCTAGCTGTCGTGATTGGTTATTGAGACTTCCATCAAGCGTTTACCTTTAATGCACCAAGCCCCACTCACTCTCGCGAGACCTAAGGACGGACGGTCCCTGGCGAGTTGCGGTCGTTTCTGGGAGCTAGGTCCTGGCAGGTGCGCGAAAGTCTTAAAAAAATATATTCTCAGATTTCTATGGAAGATATAACCGAAATTTGTTTTTCGATAAGCATCTTTGATCCAGCACTTAATTTCTGCAAGTGTCTTTATGCAGCCTTTTATCCTTACGTATCGGTCGGTTCTTAACATGGGAGATCCACCCACTACATTCGCAAGCTATGAAGGTTCCGCCCCAGCGGCGACGCGTTATCCTCAGGCCACGCCCCCTACAGAAAGTCCTTAAATAGCCCTTCTGGCACGTCACTTTCACGCGACCTCATCTTTGTCAGTGCACAAAATGGCGCCTTACAACCTACTAGTGACCCGCCTGCAGGTGAGCGAGCTCAGGGCCCTTAGGGTTCACGGGGGCGGAGTGCCTCTTGCTGTGTCTGCGGCTGTGGGCGAGGCTAGGCGAAGCGAGGCGAGCCCGACCTCGGGCTAACTTTTCATGTACCTGTCCCAACCGTGGGCCCAGTGCCTGTGCCCGATTTGCTGTCGCCCGAGGTCAAGGCGTCCCCGGCTTGGTTAACAAACTTGGCTATTTCCCCGCCCTGGGGAAGCTTGGGCCGGAGCAGCGGCAGCCGGGTGGAGAGTGGAGGTACCTGGTTCTCCTTTCTGAGGACCGTACGCCCCGCTCCCATAGGATTATTTTTCTGTTCCTCAAGGTGAGGACAAGGTGACTGGGGGGCGCGGCGATTGTAGAACTCGTTAGGCTCGATGCCTGAAGGTCTCACTAGAGAGACTTGCTTGCCAGTTTGTCAGGTCTGGATTCTGAAAAAGAAACGAGTACCCTATTGCGTCTTTGAGGACCCTGTGGAACTTACAGTTACGAATGTCGGGGGGATCTTCCGGCCCTACATAGTAAACTGTAATCATAGTAACCTCTTGACGTTTCCACATGATTGCAAGACTTAATTCCTCTTCGTATCATTTGATTCATATATTCATCTGGTGAGATAGGTGCGAGATGATGATTTTCCTTTGATGGTGAAACTGTTAGAAAGTAGATGAAAGCTCATGCTTTCCTGCGTGTCACTTTAGTACTATGGCCTGAACATCTGCCCCACCTCCCACCCACCCCCGCTGCTCCCCTAGTTCTATGACAGCATGCCCCTGCAGAACTTTCTGAGGCAGGGTGAGGTGCTGAAGTTAATTAACATTTGTATTTTGGGGAGTACCAGAATGAGGTAGCTTGAGCTCAAAATTCATTGCTTTTCAAATAACAGTTGGGAGGTTGCAGAGACCCAGCGGTTTGACCTTGAGTCTTGGGTTATGAGCCATCTAGAAAGTTGACTGTGGCTGCCAAATGTTTTTTTCACTTCTAACTTGACAGTCCTTAGGAAGGTGTTTTACTCAAAGGTTCAATGTCAAGGGTATGTTTTACTAACAAAAATACAGCAAGCAAGCATTTGTATGCCTTCTCTGCAACCTTTTGTTTAGCTTTGTGAATATTTTTTAACTGAGTGGCACAACTTTGATTATAAGAATTGAAAAGTTGTTTAGAGCTGGACTCTGAGACAGCATTGTGTTACTAAAATTGTTGTCCGTCACATTGCTTAAGTTTCAGATATGTGGTTTGGAGTGAAATCATTTATTGTAAAATTATTCTAACCTCAAAGTTTTGTGCATTGGCAAGGGATTTACAATGAACGCTCTTAAGGATTTTTGATTCTGTAGGTTTGGTAGCGTAGTGGTTACGAATCGGGCTGCGAACCTTAAGGTCAGCGGTTCGAAACTACCAGCCGCTCCGCGGGAGAAAGATGAGGCG